ATTGGCACCACTGTCACACTGAGACTCAAAAGAGCCCGGTAAGGGGCCCTGGAGGTAGAGCTCAGATTTCTACTTCCACTTACCTAGTTATGAGCGGGTATGCGGCATGAGGGCTGAGGCCAGGAGAAGTAGAAGCTAAACACGTAGGTTACAGTTGGCTCGGTTCTCTAGTAGTTGGGTCTCGACAGCGCCGCCGCTTCAAAGCCCCACGCCCACCCATCTACTGCGTTCACACGTGTATTGGCTGAGCTAATCTCAAAATATATCACTATCTCTAAAGGTGAAGATAGGATAGGTACAAGGAGACGCGGCGCGGTGGTCCCTGGCCGAAATTGAGATGGAGATGAGGATCCTACGTACCTCCCCCCCCCTTCCCCCCACCCCTCGCCCCGGAAAAAAGAAGCAGAAAAGGGAGAACATTAAGCGTACTTTCTCCATTGATATGAGCACAGAAGAACAAACTTTGAAGTATTTGTGTTTTGTCTGTTTCAGGCGTTTGAGGGTGGTATTTAAGAGCACCGTGTGACGACGTACATACAGGTCGCACCTGAAAGTCGTCCCGACGGTCGCCTGCAACGCGATGGGTAGGCCAGCCCGCCAAGCAGCTGTGTGGAGACGGTGGCCTACCCTGAGCGCCTGAGCAGGGCGGGCGTCCCTGTTAGACTTGACTAACCGCGACGCCTCTTTTGGCCCAAGGTTCATGAACCTTGTGACCACATAAATGGGGCCACAAAGCCGTCGGCCAGAGTCAGCTTAACCCGACCCGATAATAGAAGAGCCCCTTTTCCGACAAATATATGATATCTGAACACGTCCCTGTTTGTAGCTACACGATTGTAGCTACAGCCGACAGTGCCCGAGTCAGCTTAAACTGAACCGTCTATAGACGAATTCAGTACTTCCGCCAATGCTAGAATATCAACCAGAAGTAAACTGCGCTAAGAACTAAAGCGAAAACGAAAGATATCAATGCCTCTCCGAAGCTCTCGCCTTGTCCAAGCGCTCGGAGGGACAGGGGGCCGCGGAGACACGTCCCTGTATTAGGGATCGTACCCAAACCACGTGACGCATTTTGGGAGAGGGAGGAGGTCTGTAAAAAAAACACCACTCACCACCACCAGGAGGGAGGGGTTTTTTTCGGCCAAGTCACGTGACTATTAATTACCTGCTCAAATAAGCATGTTTTTGAAAAATACTAACACAAATCCGTTTATTGCGTGATAACTCACTGAAATTTGACGGTGTTTAATCGAAAAGTCACCACTAAATTAAGTTTTGAATATCAACAAACATGCACTTTTTGTTAAAATGCTCTATATATTTGTAAATACGTCAAATAACACATATGCTGAAAACCACGTGAAAATGGAGGGGG